TACTTCGAGTCCAAGGGTGGACTGCCCGAAGCCAACGGGATTCAACTGCGTAAGGGACGCCAAGGAAGTTGAGAACTTCCTATGGAGGATGGAGCAATATTTCGAGGGTATCGGTCTAGTCGACGAGACGACTAAGGTAAGAACTGCTTCATTTTATCTTTCCGATACGGCTATGTTATGGTGGCGTAGAAAGCACGCCGATATTGAGAAAGGCATTTGCCGAATCGATACTTGGGAAGAGTTCAAGAGGGAACTCAAGCGACACTTCTACCCGGAGAACGTCGTCTATGAGGCTCGAATGAAGTTGAGGGAACTCAAGCAACGAAGTTCAGTCTGCGAGTACGTGAAGGAGTTCACCACCCTCACCCTTCAAATTCCCAACCTTTCCGAGGAGGATCTCCTTTTCCACTTCACCGATGGGTTACAAGTCTGGGCCAAGAAAGAACTCCACCGACGAAGCATCAAATCCGTCGATGAAGCTATTGCCGCCGCCGAGTCTTTAACTGAGTATCAACCGAGAGAGCCGTTGCGAAAAGAGAAGTGGAACCCGACTAAAGGCGGATGAGAGAGATGGGACAATCATGGTCGGGGCCATCGAGACAACCGAGACCCAAGGCGAGCGTCAACCTTGAGGGGAGGAGACAAGCCATCCTCACGCCATCAACTTGAAGAGAAGAAGAGGTCGTTTGTGCCTAAGGGAGGATGCTTCGTGTGCAAGGGGCCATACGCGATGAGTCAATGTCCCAAGATGGGGTCATTGTCGGCACTCTTACAACAAGAGGTCGGGCAAGGCACAAACGAGGGGCTAGGCAACATGGGATCACTCCAACTTCTGAACGCCTTAAAGGCTAATCCGATGCCGACAACATCAAGCAAGGGGCTGATGTACGTGGAGGCCCGCATCAACGGTACCCCAACAAAGGTGATGGTGGACACGGGAGCGACCCACAACTTTATCACCGAGGACGAGGCCAAAAGGGTTGGCCTACGGTGGACTAGACGAGATGGTTGGCTCAAGGCCGTTAACGCTAAGGCACAACCGCTCAACGGTGTAGCACGAGACGCGGAGCTACACTTAGGCACTTAGATGGGCCAAGTGGATTTTTCGGTAGCACCAATGGATGACTTCAAGGTGGTGCTAGGCATGGATTTCTTCCGCAAGGTAATGACTATCCCGATGCCTTGTTTCAATGCGGTTTGCATCTTAGAGAAGGGGACACCTTGCATGGTGCCGGCCATCAACGGCACCACTAAGGAAGAAAGCACGCAACCAAGGCAACTGTCGGCCACGCAAGTTGCCAAGGGAGTTCGACGGGGCGAGCCGACATTTTTAGCCGCTTTAAAGGAGTACAAACCGGGGAAGGTGAACGTTGTGGCCGATACTTTGAATAAAAAAGCCGAACTCGCAGCCATTAGCTCGACAAGGGGGAACTTGGCCGACATGATCCGAGAAGGGCTCGAACATGATCCCATGGCCAAGGAGCTAATCCGACTCGTCAAGGAGGGCAAGACGAGGCAATTTTGGGTAGAAGACGGCCTACTCTACACGAATGGACAGCGACTCTTCGTTCCGAAGTGGGGCAGCTTGAGGAAGGACCTCATAAGGGAATGCCACGACACCAAGTGGGCGGGGCATCCGGGCCAAAGGCGGACAATGGCGTTGCTCGAGACGGCCTACTTTTGGCCTCACATGCGGGACAGTGTCGATGCATATGTGAAGACTTGTCTTGTGTGCCAACAAGACAAGGTGGAGAATAAACAACCGGCAGGGCTACTTGAGCCACTCCCAATTCCCGAGCGACCATGGGAGTCGATCTCAATGGACTTCATTAGCGCCTTGCCGAAGTCCGAGGGGGCCGGATCTATCATGGTGGTGGTAAATCGCTTTTCAAAGTACGGGACGTTCATAGCTTGCCCGAAGGATTGCACCGCGGAGGAGGCAGCCCGGTTCTTTTTCAAGAACGTCGTCAAATATTGGGGACTACCGAGGAGCATCATAAGCGATCGAGACCCACGCTTCACGGGGCGATTAAGAACCTATTATTAATTAAAGTGTAATACATTTTTAATTCAATTTTATCATAAAAAAATAATTCCTAAATTACGTGAGAATCAAATCATAAGATTAATTAAAGCGTATGATTTGAATCAATTAAGCGCAAATCCTTTTAATTTGTAAATATTATTCAAACATTTGAATCGATTAAGTTCAACCACTGAAAAGAACGTATTAATCGAGTTAACTATTTATAATTAAAGTCTACTATTCTTTTAATTCAAATTTAACAAAATAATAATAATTTAATTTGTAAAGTCGTAATAATCAAATCGTAAATCGTAAGATTTAATCTAACCATGAACCGATTAAATCTTACGATTTTTACAAATTAAATTTTATTATTTTTTATGATAAAATTCAATAAAAAAAAATATACTAAACTTTAACTATACATAGTTTGATTAATTCGCTATTGTAAATTATTGAGTTTAACCGATTCAAATATTTGAATATTGTCTACGAATTGAAATGAGTTGAGCTTAATCGATCAAATCTTTGAATATTGTTTTTGAATTGAAAACACAATGTGTTTAATTGATTCAAATATTACAATTTAATTAAATCTTGCAATTTACGATTCAATTCAAACTTTAATTTCTTTCGAAATTCATTTTTAAATTACACAAGTTGATCAGCATTTTCTTAGATTTTTAAAATATATTATATAAAGATTTGTTAGTATGGGATATTATTAATATATAATAATAATTATATGAGAATTAATAATTTATTTAATATTATTTATATAAGTTTTATAACCATTATAAATTGTAGCTTTGTGATATATATCCGTATTGTTAGTTTATTGACCATTATGTGTTGTGTCTTAAGGGTAAGTATTCTTGTATGTTTTCAAATGGTCACAAAGTTCGAATGTAGGTTGATGCAATTTTGGATTGGTAGTTTAATAATTTTTATGAATAATGATATAATTGACTTTATAAATTTTAATTCAGCAATGAATATAGATTTAAAATTGCATTGAAATAGAGAGGGTAAAATTAACATTTCATTAATAATTTATAATTGTCGAACACAGGATCTCATGGTAGAAACACCCATATAATTCCTCATCTCCCTCTCTCCTTCTGCATCTCAATTCTCACGCCTCTCTCTCTCTCTCTCTCTCTCTCTCTCTCTCTCTCTCTCTCTCTCTCTCTCTCTCTCTCTCTCTTTTTTTTTCTTTTTCTCTCTCTCATTATATATAAAGAGATGAAAAATAACAAGGATCTTTTTAGATTATGAGAGTATTTCTTTGGTGAAAGAATTAATAGGACGAAAACATCCCCTCCAAAAAATAATCAGAAATCCAAAATTCTAGCCAAATTCACATTGTGTTTTCGGTATGTAGAACCTCCCATCGTTTGTTGTTAGCAATTTTCGTTTGCAGTTGCTTTAATTTCGTTTGTTGTTTGAAGAATTGCGTTTGATGTTGAGATTCGATTCCTCTGGTTTACAATTTGCAAGGTATGTCTTAAGTTACATTTTACAAACATTTTGTTTAATATTTTTGTTGTTTGCAAATTGTTCTATAAACTATTTTTTTGTTGATGTTTTTAATGATGCTGATTTTTTTTTATTTTTTTTCAGTTTGCTGTTTGCATTTGGCCAAGTCATAGGTAGTTTATTGCTTGCAATTCAATAATGCAAGTTTTGCTGAATGTTTTTCTTCAATTTGTTGTTTGCATTTGGCGAAGTCATAGGTAATTTTTTGTTTGTAATTTAGTAATACAAATTATGAATTTTGTTTTTTCAGTTTGCTGTTTGCATTTGGCGAAATCATAGGTATTTTGTTGGTTGCAATTTAATAATATAAAATCTAATTTTCAGTTTGCTATTTGCAGTTCGCGGAGTCATAGACGTCGCAGTTCCCGGATCATAGGTGGTGGTGTGGCTGCGATGACGTTTTTAGAGTATGAGTTTGTAAAATAAATTGTATATTTTTATTATGAATTAATTTATTTGTTTTAGTTAATATTTGGAAGAGAGATGTTTGAGAACTTGTTATGATAGAGAGATTTTTGGGGATTTGATTTAATTTAATTAAGGGTATTTTTGCCATAATAAATATTATTAATTTATTAAAACATTAAATTTTGACTTGGATTTACACACATAAATTATAATATAGAGGGACCTATAGCAAATTGTCCCTAAAGAAAAATAGTCCTATGTCTTTTGAAGTAACGGTCTATTTGAACAAAACAATTGGTCATATTCTTAGTGAAATTAAAATTTCAATACTTTATTAATTATTTATACATATGTTTTTTTTTTCCAAAATTGCTCTCATTATTCATAAATATGATTTTGATTCTCACAAATAAAATAATAATTTATGGAATAGGAATTCGAAGGAAATATATTTTGGTCATATGGTATATTTTATCTCAAGCCCTCTACATTTTTATTAGTTTTTTTAATACATATTTAAAAACATTAAAGTGCGCATAATTTATAATAAAAAAAGTATTGTTTAAATGTTACATTGCTAAACAACTTAAATATTTTCAACACTTTTTTTTAGTGACAATAGCACCATGTAAACTATTAACAAAAGAACCATGTAAAACCCGCAAGGCTGGCCTAGCGGTTGGAGCAAGAGAGGTTGTGTCAATTGACCTAAGTTCGAATCCCCTTGCCAACGGTCGCTAGGTCGAGCTTGTCACACATGGTTAGCCTAGTGTGGTTTACATCTCTCGTATGCTTTGCAAGCTATTATACGAGAGTGTAGGTTTTCAAAATTGAGGGGTGGTCGTAATAATCCAAACAAGAGGGGGGGGTTTTTGTAATTTGACCATACCTCAGGGGGGTGTTTGTAATTTACCCTAAAAAATAATAATATTTTTTATTACGCATCCGGTTTTAGGACAAGCATATACCTCAACCGGGTTCACTAAACCCTAAGCCATAAACCCCAGCCACACTACAAAGTATCATTTCTGAAAAAGAAAAAAACCCACGTCCGCGCCATTGGGTTTTAACTCTCTCACCGCCACCACCGGCCGCCGTTAATTTCCGTAAAGCGCGCCGCGGAAAAGCCACTTCCGGTGAGTTCAGGGGAGGAGGGAAGTGAGAATTAACGACAGAAAATGAGGAAGAAAGTAGACGAACGCATCAGAACCCTAATTGAGAATGGCGTCAAAGCGCGCCACCGCTCCATATTCGTTATCATCGGCGACAAGTCACGCGACCAGGTATATCATATCTGTTTATCTATGTATATGTATATGTGTATGCATATGTGTAATTGTTCTTAGTAATGGTGATTTTTTATTTTCCCCATTGAAACAGATTGTGAATTTGCATTATATGTTGAGCAAATCGGTGGTCAAGTCGAGGCCGAGTGTGTTATGGTGCTACAAGGACAAACTTGAGCTTAGCAGGTTCTTACATCTTCCCCCCTCTGTAAATTAGTAATTATATGCATTAGTAATTTTATAGGGTGGAAACTGAAGTAATTTCGATAATTTGATTTTCGAAGGCAAGGTTAAAATTGGATTATTGTATCTTGGCAACTGTGATTGTGATGTATTTTGCTGCTATGCATTTCTATCGTTTGACCTGATAGCTCTTCATACAGTTACTGAAACACATTAGTTTGCCCAAAAGAAAAGTGGTTTACTCAATTTGGTCTTTTCCTGTGTAGTCATAAAAAGAAGCGTGTCAAGCAAGTGAAGAAGCTATTGCAGAGAGGGCTGCTCGACCCGGAGAAGGCTGATCCTTTCTCGCTTTTTCTTGAAACTGCAGGAATAACTCATTGCTTGTACAAAGATTCCGAAAGAATTCTCGGTAACACTTTTGGCATGTGTATATTACAGGTACAATTTGTCCTGAATTGCCATTCTGAGTTATGAGCAAAACACTATTGAACGTTAGTTTCCAATTCTTCTCTGTGGATTTTTGACTTTGTTTCTGTTTTTTTTTTTCTCCATGCAAGGATTTTGAAGCTTTGACACCAAATCTCCTGGCTAGGACTATTGAAACTGTTGAAGGTGGTGGATTGATAGTATTGCTGCTTCGCTCTCTTTCCTCACTCACGAGTCTTTACACTATGGTTATGGTAATGTCACAGATTCTACTTGAATATCTATGAGAACTTCAATAAGATAAATTATTCCGAGAGCAAGGAATTCTACTTTTTGTAGAAATAGATCATTTTCAAACAAAAAGTTTCTTTTCAAGAAAAAATAATTACTGATGGTTCCATGAATATGCATCTCTTTTATTCTTAGTTATTGTGCTTGTATTTACGGACTTACTGGACTTGATTAATCACAGGATGTCCATGAGAGGTTTCGTACAGAATCTCATTCTCAGGCTTCGGGGCGATTTAATGAACGTTTCTTGCTTTCACTTGCTTCATGCAAATCTTGTGTAGTCATGGATGATGAGTTAAACATTCTACCAATTTCTTCCCATATGAAATCAGTTACCCCAATTCCAGTTCTAGAGGTAAGCGTCCTTGATTTTCTAGAATTATGATAGTATTGAGAAATAAAACATATTCAGCCATACACCATGTTCATGACTTTCTATTGCTGTAATTGGCATCTCTTTAAGTTTCCCAAGTACCAAATATAATGACATTTGTTACAAAAATTGGTAATCCTGGAACATGTACCTGATTATTTGCAATTATTGTATTGCTTTTGAAAGGATTCCGAAGGGCTTTCTGAAGCTGATAGGGAACTGAAGGATTTGAAGGAACAACTGAACGATGATTTTCCTGTTGGTCCTCTAATTAGAAAGTGCTGCACAATGGACCAGGTAATAGTTGTTTCTTTGGCAGTATTTACTAATATTTTTGCAGTTTGATTATTGAACGCTCTTCTTATCTCTTCAAATAGGGAAGGGCTGTCATTACCTTTCTCGATGCAATTCTGGACAAGAGCCTTCGAAGCACAGTAGCTTTACTTGCTGCTCGTGGTCGTGGAAAGTCGGCTGCTCTTGGTTTAGCAATTGCTGGAGCTGTTGCAGCTGGGTAAATTATTTTAATTAATAAAATATTAAAAGCCATATGCCATTATTTCCTTCCCTATACCCCACTTTTCATGAGCTTGTCTTCATGCTGATTTGGAATAAACTGCCTTGACAGATATTCTAATATTTTTGTGACTGCACCAAGCCCTGAGAATCTGAAAACTCTATTCGAATTTGTATGCAAGGGATTTGATATGCTCGAGTACAAGGTATGACGAACTGCTTATGTTGTTTCTAGTCTAGCAAAAGTAGATCACTATGTTTATTCTCATTGTTTCACATCATCTTATCCTTCATTATCTAGTAGTTGCAGAATTTAGTTATATGCATGCTGGAAAAAAAATTGTGCTCAAGATTGTCTTGGAAGCTGCTTTCTGACTAATTGAATTTGCTTTCTTATCCCCCCTAAAATTTAAATCCTGCTTGATTTTTATGAAGTTTAACAATTTAATGCAGTTGCCATTTGGATTGTATGCAAACTCATATGTATGGAATACTATTTGTAATAAGCAAAAATATATAGTAACATACTATTGCATCTTCACTTGTAGGAGCACATGGATTATGATGTGTTGAAAAGCTCAAACCCTGATTTTAAGAAAGCAACTGTGCGGATCAATATCTACAAACAGCACAGACAGACTATTCAGGTAAGTAAAGTTTAAGTAGAGTTCATATCTATTTCGTAGACAAAAAACTTATTGGGTATGTTATCTATAAGTCTTTTGAATACCTAAATGCAGCTGGTTCTTTGATTCGTCATTTATCTTGTGTAGTTTGAACTCATCTCTTTATTGTGAAGCAAATATTAGTCGTCCTGTACTTATTTTATTATACCCTTCAAATTTATATAATCATGTTGTTATTTTTCATTGAGCTGGTTTGAGTTGGAAAGAGGTGGGTGGGGGTTGCAAGGGAGAAGTTTGGGTTTTTGTGACTCAGAATTTAATGGGATGAGAAGAGAGTAGAGTAGCATCTTCCTTACTGTTCACCCTTTTATGTGGAATCTAATAAGGATAAATGAAGGCATTCCCATTTTCTATACTTCTTTTTTGGCACTTTTGTTCATATATATTTTCCATTGAAGAGATAAACAGAATGATATTTCTTTTCCCTTCTACTCATATCATGACTGAAGAACTGAAAGAGTTTTTGCTTCCACTGCAATCAGCTGTTGTTTATATTTTACTGACGAAAGAAGAAACAATAATTCTTTTTCATGTTGTTAATGCAGTACATACAACCACATGAACATGAAAAGCTATCGCAAGTAGAATTGTTGGTTGTTGATGAAGCGGCAGCTATACCTTTACCAGTTGTGAAGTCCTTGCTTGGTCCATATCTTGTCTTCCTTTCGTCGACGGTGAATGGGTATAGTTTAAACAGAATTTGGTGTTTTTTTTTGTCTATCGATTAAAAGGCTCTTTCTGCAATAGCAATTCATAACAGTTGAATTTGTAGCTAAGAATTTCAAATCCACAATAAAAGATGCATTGAACTTGTTTGGGCAGTTGCATGATACAATCTATTCAAACTAGCTATTTCTTGAGTCATTGTAATGGATTTGAAATCAGCTTTAAAATCCTTTACACCAAAATTCTTTGGTCGAGGCTAATCATGGCATCTAAATGGAATCTGAAAGAATTATTTATCCTGTATCTTGCATTTTTGTTCGAGCACTAGAGCAGTTCATGATAACTATATTCCTTTTTTTTTTCCAAGTTATGAAGGCACTGGAAGGTCTTTATCTCTAAAACTGCTCGAGCAACTTAAGGAGCAAAGCCATATATCAAGTAGAAGCACAGAGACTTCTGTTTCAGGTTTTTTTAAGTTTTCATCTTTTTCATACCCTGCTAGTCAACTCTTTTTCGGTATATTTTTGCACTTCATGAGAGAGGTGGTTGGTCTAGTTGATGTTCTGCTTGAAGTTTCTATTGGGTTTGCATTATGGTTAAAATATTTATAGATGAGATTCAGGGTTTTCATGCCCATTTATCAAGTTATACAGTAGATGACAATCTATCCGTAAAATGGTGATCAAAGTTTTTATTATTTAGTGCCAAATTATTTGTCTTCCGTTGAAACCATATTTTTAATAACTGAAATACTGTTTGGTCCTTTTTCTCTGTAGAAAAAAGCTTCTTTCCAGAGGGTCCCCTTCTTGAACCCTCTTTATATTTTCTAATATATATATATATATATATATATATATATATATATATATATATATATATATATATATACATGTTCTTGTGAGTTTATAGATTCTCAAGAACGATCTTTTTGCGTAGTTGGCCTAATGTCAATAAACATCAATTGTAGGCCGATTCTTCAAGCAGATTGATTTGAGTGAATCTATCAGATATGCTTCTGGTGATCCAATTGAATCCTGGCTTAATGGTTTGCTTTGTCTGGATGTAACAAATTCCATCCCTAATATTAGCAGGTTAAATTCTAAACAACTTTTGAGTTTAGGGAATCTGGATTATCCTCCGTTTGTTGAGCCATCTTCATGTTTTATTTTTTATTTTTTATTGAGCTATCTTCTTTCTTTATCAGGCTACCCCCACCCAGTGAATGTGATCTCTACTATGTCAACCGAGATACACTATTCTCGTACCACAAAGACAGTGAACTATTTTTGCAGGTAAGCAATGCATATAAACATATCATGCGCTCGAGTGTTCCTAATTCATGTCTATATGATTTTATAACTGTTTTTTTCTTATTTAACTTGGTTGGGTATTGGTCTTCGACAGAGGATGATGTCTCTGTATGTTGCTTCTCACTACAAGAATTCTCCAAATGATTTGCAATTAATGGCTGATGCTCCAGCTCATCAATTGTTTGTGCTTCTTGGTATACATGATTTCTGTCAAATTTATGTTCTTACTTACTTTGCTATAAGCAATGTATTGACTCATCATTCTACAGGTCCTGTGGACGAGTCCAAAAATCACCTTCCTGAAATTCTGTGTGTCCTTCAGGTAAGCCTTCTCTTATTTTGCCAATTAAGATATTTGCTAAATACCAAGTCAAGCTTCTTTCATTACTTAAAAGTAATAATAATTACATATCATACCAGTGATACTATCTTTGCATGACCTTATGTGTAGATATCTTTTGAGGGAAAAATTTCTCATAAATCTGCTCTGAAGAGTTTAAGTGATGGCCGTCAACCCTCTGGAGATCAAATACCCTGGAAATTTTGTGAACAATTCCGGGACACAGTTTTCCCAAGTCTTTCAGGTGCTCGCATTGTACGGATTGCCACACATCCAAATGCAATGAGGGTAATACTATTGTTAATTTTAAGTGAAAATATGAAAAAAAAAAAATCTTCACTGCCTCCTTAAACAGCATTTTTTCATATATTGCAGCTTGGATACGGTTCGGTTGCTGTTGATCTGTTGACGAGGTATGCTTACAATTTTTCCCCATCCTTCTCTTTCTTATCATGGTTCTCTATAATGCTTTCAAAATTGAAACAATGCAACTTACATGGCATGTTCATGTGATGTGGAAAATCATATACACAAGTGTATGTGTCATAACAAGTAGTAAAGTGACTGCAACCCGAGTGGGTCGCTGTAGGCCGTTTATAAGGCCATTTTAAAAAGAAAAGAAAAGAAACAAGTAGTGAAGTGATATAGTAACATTTCCCAAATAAGTGTGTTCTAATTACCAGAGTAGTTTTCAATCCAATCTTCAATCTGCAATAAAGCTCCTCCTCTCCTTGGTATCCAAGCCCATGCATCAAGAATATTCATATTTTAGCTCTTGCCTTTAACTTGCTTCACTAAATCTTTGATCCAAAGAAAGCAAAAACATCTAGCTAGATCTCTTATCTCATTGGAAGTGATCATAGAGTATATATTGGGGCAATTTGGATTAAATGTCTATCTTTCTACTTCTTATCATAAGCTCTCCTTGGTGTAAATCGATCATAAGCTTTCCTATCATAAATAAGTAACTTGATAAAAATTGACTGTAAAATATTTCTTCTTGTAGGTACTTTGAGGGTCAACTGACTCCGATCTCCGAATTAGATGATGAAGAACTTCCTAAGGATTCTGATGTCGGAGTCATTGAGGCTGCAGAAAAGGTGTATTTCATATCTTTTAGATTCTTAAGCTTGTTTCCTTCATTGCTCTTTCAAGGAAGGTGCCACCTCATTGCATCATTGTACGGTTCTAACAATGTGATCATTTGCAATTCTCCATACCCAGTAACTTTATCTTAACTATGTTGTCTCTACAAAAGAAAAGGAAATTGCACATGCACACAAATAGACATACAAAGGATCACCGAAAGGAATTTTTTGTCCTAATAAAATAAGGAAAATATTGGAATACTCGCTGCTAAAGGGGTGTGGACCTTGTAAATTTGTTTTCTCAAATATTTAGCTCGAGTCATAGTGATTGAACTTTTTACTTGCAATCTATTGCCTCTATTCTTAGTGGCTCTAAAAGTCGTAATGGGTGCAGGCATCTCTGCTTGAAGAAAATATAAAGCCAAGAACTAATCTTCCTCCGATGCTTCTACCTCTTCGTGAGCGGAGACCAGAAAAGCTCCATTACCTTGGAGTCTCATTTGGGCTTACTCTAGATCTATTCCGCTTCTGGAGGAAACATAATTTTGCTCCATTCTACATTAGCCATGTTCCAGTTAAGATTGCAACTTTTCTATTCTTTAGTGGTTTATTTTTTTTTCCTATTTATTCATTATTTGTTTCTCTAAATGTGGCGATACATTTGATTAGCTTATAATATTCTGTTTCACTTCAATATTCAGAGTAGCATGACCGGTGAACACACTTGCATGGTTCTGAAAGCATTACATAATGATGATATCGAATCTTCTGGCTCCGGCCCGTTGGGGTTTTTCAGCCCATTTTATCAAGGTTTGTCTAATTTCAATTTTGTGAATTGTCCTTTCATCCAATATTAGTATGTATATACATTAATTTTTTTTTGGGATATTTGTCCTTTTCATATTGTCATCAGTGTTCCAGAAGAAATTCACAAAATCATTGTCTCGTGCATTTCGTCAAATGGAGTACAAGCTTGCCATGAGGTACGAGACCGTGGTCTCAGGTCTTATCTTCTTTAAAATTACTCTTCACTATTCTTATGCTCCCTATTTTTGCAGTGTTTTGGATCCAAAAATCAATTTCTCAGAGGGGGATAATACTCCACCGCCTCCCTCTGATGGATTTTTAAATTCAATCAGTGAAACACTATCATCATATGGCATGGAGCAACTGGAAGCATATACAAACAATCTTGTTGACTATCACATGGTATGTGCGATTATTATTTATCTTGCTTTATCTTGTGATTTAGAGAATCTGGGAGAGATTCTTTAGAGTTTCAAGGAAAATATTTAAAGAAAGTTTTTCTATTTTTATATTACATATTAAGCCCAATCAAAAGCCCCCAATCTGCATATGGAACTGGGATGCGGTCTGTCTAGTACTTGGTACTAACGGCAAAAATATATATTCCAAGTTTTCAGAAGCATATTTATTGATTACATGTGGCTTCTAACTTCTAAATGAAAAATAAATAATATTTCTGAGTTCTTAACGGCTATTTCACCCGCGTTGTCACTTATTTTGAAAGCATCATTATTTTTTTCTTCTTGTTTTTGTCTTGCTTATCGACATCCAAATGTTCATCAACATTAAGCAAAACAAATTCCGTTCCTACAATTTTAACAAGCTCTGATAATCTTGCATGTGGTGATAAATTGTTTGACATGTGGCAGACTGAAGATTTTGTTGATGATCTTGCTCGTGGATATTTCTGGGGGAAAATTCCAGTTACATTGTCGTACATCCAGGCTTCTATTTTGCTCTCCATGGGCTTGCAAGGAAAAAGTATCTCCTGTATTGAGGTACTCACATTTTATTTCCTTTGGCAGCTGTAGATTTTACCCTAGTTTACTAGCTTTTTTTTTAAGCTTTATGATCTTAAGTAATTCTTAGTTCGTACTAAAAACTTGCTAATGATATGAGTATTTAAAGACCTATTGAAAATGTTTCCATTTTCATTTTCTTTTTATCTGATCCGGGTGGGGTCCACTTGCAATGTTTGATCGCCTTGGCCTTTTGCTTGCTAAGATGCTCATGTTAATGTATAGGGAGAGTTGAAGTTGGAAAGGCAGCAGATAATGTCTTTATACATGAAAGTCATGAAGAAGTTCTACAAATACTTGAATAGTGTATCTTCAAACGAGACTCGTCCAACTGTCTCTCGACTAAAAGATGTAAGTGAACTTACCAAAATACTATTCCGGGTTAAATCTTCCCCCCTCTCTCTTTCTTGACCTGTTCTTCGTGCAGATTACTTTGGAACCCCATCCAGTATCAGTGGATGACGATCTGAACAAGGCAGCAAAACAAGTCCAGGTTCGTTGATCTTTTTCTGACGGTTATACCCTTCTGTTATCTCGTTTTTTCTCGCCTTATTAAATCTAGTCTAACTCAAAGCCTATTCTCAGGATGATATGAATGCGAAGATGGCCGGTCAAATGAACCCAGAGTTACTACAACAGTATGCCATTGTCGATAAAGAAGCTGATTTCGAAAGTGCTTTGCGAAATGGCAGTGGAAAAATTCTCTCTGGGGGTACGATTAGCATAAAATCGACTACAAGTAAGATTGAGAAGAAGCAGGGGAAGCAAACAGAGAACGAAAAGAGTGATAAAAAGAGAGGTAAACATGACCATAGTTCCAAATCAAACAAGAGGAGAAAATCATGAGCCCTAAACGCAAGGTTATAATTTTATTATTACAATTTTTACAATGACTTTCGCTGTTAATTTATACATGTCGTGCATTCTGTACGATGTAGAATTCGATTCCGTATAATTTGGTACTATATTTAACTTTGCATTTGTCTACTTTATGTTGTATTATTATTTTTGATAGGGTAAATTACAAACACCCCCCCTGAGGTATGGTCAAATTACGAAAACCCCCCTCTTGTTTGGATAATTACATCTACCCCCATCAACTATGATTTTTTCTTACACCTCCACCCTTATGGTGTCAAATTCAACATAATCATCTAGATTCCGTGAAATTTGCTCTAGTTTGTACTCGTTTTGTGTAAAAATACAGTTCTCGGTGCACCAAAAACTGATATATACAAGCTAAAAATCACATATTATGATCATCTTGCTTCATAATGTAGAGTTTTAATGAGATAAAACGGGTACAAAAGTGATAATATTCCATATAATCTCGAAGATTTCACTAAATTTGAGGAGTTGAGGGGTGGTTGTAATTATCCAAACAAGAGGGGTGTTTTTGTAATTTGACCATACCTCAGGGGGGGTGTTTGTAATTTACCCTTTTTGATATTATACACTTTTTTTTTTTTTTTTTTTTTTTGCGAACTAGCGAGTTTTGTGAACGCATGATACTGTAGGCTTGTAGCTGAACAGTTAAGGGGCGGAATTGTAACAAAACTTCCGAATTTTACCGATTTTGATCCAAGTCAAACTCATACCCGCCCCATATTTATTTGGGGCGAATATTCCCCACTATTTTCGAGGTTGGGCGGACGGGTCAAATTGTCATCCGTCATATATTTCATTCAAATTTCTTCCAAAGAGTCAAAAGAGAGCAGATTTTTTTTTTGGGTGACAATCGATCTCCGAAGGATGTAAACTTGTAAAGGTTATATCGAGAGATTTGTATCTTGATCGTGAATCAAACGTTAAGATTTAATAAACGTGTAAGTCGTTATAAAATTTAAGAATGTGATTTTGGTACTTCAATAAAAATGATTCGAGGGTTTAGCACCATAATCCGAATTAATTTGGTGCTTTAATAAAAATAATTCGAGGGTTTAACACCATAATTCCGAATTAAACTTTATGTTCTCAAACTTCACTTTGAATTTCAACCAACTCTCATATTTTTCGCACCAAATCCATTTGTATGCCCACTGAACACTAACTATGCATTCAAAAATTCAAAAAATAAAGCAATATAATTTTGAAAAAAAAAATGTTTAAAATATTAATTCACAAGGGACAGTTATTTCCCCTGAATCTATGCAATTTGTAGTGATGGAATTGCAAAATCTGGTAGGCATGATTGCCCATTGGGGTAGCCTCTGGTTGAGCAGAGACAAAATGAAATGATGCCTTGTTTGCCAACACTTTATTATTATGTCAATATCTAATTTCACTCCAGAAAAAAAAAATAAAAAAAATATTCATTTAATAGGATTTTCTGTAGATGATGCAAAAGCAGTTACATCATGCAAACGCATGCACAACGGTAAGCCAATATTCTCATACCAAACGCGGCCTTAGCTGTTATAATATTTACTATTACTTTTTGTTTTGCCATGATGATTAACTTGTGTTCAAGAATTTAAAAAAAAAAACTAATTATTAATTAATTAACAGTTTTTTTTTTCTCCATGATTAACTTAAACTTGAAGTTTATATAATGATTAAGATTATAGTAAAGAAACCATTATTGAAAACTTTGTTCACTCCATTATTAGCAACCGAAAATGGTTGTTAGAGTAATGAATGGGGGGGCATATAGAATGAATCTACTAATTAAAGCTTTAATTGTTACTCAATCACAACAAATTGATAATTGGAACATCTCTATGTAATATGTATCTAAATTAATTACTAGTACAAAAGGCAACAACAAATATAATATTTTTTTAAATGTGAATTGCTTCATCAATGGCTAGTGTCATGCTATCACTTCAAATGATAGCACACATATTATATATGGAAAAACTACAGTTTTGTTCATTCAGTTTACACTAATTTCATATTTAGTCCATATAATTTACTGCTAGTCTGTTAGTTAAAAGAGTGATGACACATGCTTAATTCCGTTAGTATTAATGGAAAACTAACAAAAATGACAAAAAATGTTAAATTATGGAAACATGAGGGGCTAGATCTGGTTTTTGTGAATATAAAAGACCAAATATAAAATTAAGGTAAACTTGGGGTATTTGATACTTTGCACCCTCGAATTACATGTCTTTGACACTTTGCACCCTTAAATTACAAAGATAGCACTTTGCACCCTTTAATTAGTATTTGCTTGGCACTTTGCACCCTACTGCAACTTTTGGCTAGAAAATGAACCTACAACCTGTTTTATGGGTTTGAAGAGGGGCATATTTGTCTTTATAATTTTCCACAAACTTAAAAATCGTTCTTTTACTTTTCTTTCTTCATTCTCAATTGGAAATCTGCGAAGTTTATGAATTTTAAGCTATTTGTTCCATTTTCTTCAGCTCTAATCTTTATAATGAATTCTTACTGATTGTGATATAGTAGCAAGTGTATCAAATATTTTTTGAATCACTACTTATTTGCAGATTAAATATATGACTTGTATTATGATACACAAAGAACTAATAATTGAAAAACGTAGTGAATAAAGGGATGATGGCAAACATGACATAGTTCATTCCACAAATAATAAAATCGGCAACTTTAAGAAGTGTCTATTTACAAAGCCTCCAATCAAATAATTTGGCCTTATTTGGGCCGAACATTTTCCATAGAATTCCCCATAGCCTCTCACTAATATTCATAGTAAAGTTGCTGCCAAAATTTCTAAAAACGAATAGATAATGAACACATAAAAGAGAAGAGGAGGAAAATCATAAAATCGCATTGTATCCCGATTCCTGTGAAACTCGACGAAACCCCCTCCATGATCAGGCACAAAGAAGAATAACCAATGTATATCGGTATACACAGTTCATAAAATTTTAGATAATATTTTTATCTAAAGGCATCTCACTGTTGATTTCTTGTGTAGATTTCCCAACTATTCTTGAGTTATAGCTAATAAAATAGCATGTTAGGGCAAAATAAGATTTAATTTGGAAGGATCGAAGAAAAAAAATATTAGAGCTTCTTCTTAGGGATTCTCTGAATTTGTTGCTTTCCTCCCAGTATACCTAGTTGCAGTAAAAGGCCAAAGTTGCTTCTTGAAACCCATAGAACCGGTTGCAGGTCAATTTTTTAGCCAAGGATGTAGTAGGGTGCAAAGTGCCAGCAATACTAATTAGAGGGTGCAAGTGCTATTTTTTTTAATTTAATGGTGCCAAATGCCAAAAACCTGTAATCCGAGG